CGTTTGGTGGTTGAGGGCAGAGGGGCTGATGAGCGTCCCTCCGCCGCGCCGGTGGCGTGTGCTCTGGGGCCTCGGGGTCTTCTTTTAATCTTTGAGCCTCTTGTTTGAGTCGTGAAGTTGGCTCTGGGTTGTCGCAGGCGCTCAGTCTGAGGGAGTGGGGGAGAATCAGAGATGTGGGGAGGAGGAAGAGGACGAGGAGGAGGAGGAGAGGTGCAGCCCCTGTAGGGCTGTGCGTTGCCCCCCGTTTCCTCCCCAGGCTCCGTCTGTGGCGGGCGGACCCCGCACGGCGCGGGGAGCAGCCTTTGTACTTTGTGCTCCAGCTCCCGGAGAGGAAGCAGAGCTCCGCGCTTTTGCGGTCAGACCCCGCAGAGAACCACTAAGAGGAGGCTGATTGCTAGCTGGGATGGATTTCCAGCGGGCTCGGAGGTGGCCTTCAGGTTTGAGATGACTGGGGAAGGAAGGCTGCTCATTTAAAAAGCTGTTGCAATAGTGAAGGACCAAAGAGCTTCCCCGAACAATAGCATGTCTGTCCCGAGTTAGTTGGTAACGGTGAGCCAGACAAAGCCGGTTTGGCGCTTTCCTCTTCGATTCTTTCATGGTAGTACCGGGCTAGTGATGCTCTCGGTGATATCAGTTTTGATGTGAGGGGAGACTTGGGCTGGACTTTCTCAGTGAGTCTCAGTCCTGGAGCTCAGTGAGGACTTTGAAGGTCTGTTGCCGAGTAACTGCTTAACTGCTTCCTTTTTTTTTTTTTTTCCCTTTCTTTTTTTTTTTTTTTGCAATGTTCTTGATAGTAAGACTATGGCAAAGTGCAGGGACTTGATTGATGCATACAGAAAAACAGAAACTTGTGCGAATGAAATGAAATGAAACTGGGAGGAGGAGGTGCAGATGGCAGCAGAGTCAGAAAAATAATACAGTCACCCCAGAGTTGGGATTCCTTTGGGTCTGAGCATTGCTTGTTAATTGGGCTGGGAAGAAGAAGCCACTTGGCTTTTGTAATTCTTTATTGTGTCTAAGTACAGGTCCAGGGTGTGATACTACGTGCATGGACATATTTTGATGTGTAGATTTACTTCTGAATTAATAGTACATCTGGAAGAAAAACAGGAAGAGGAAACTGCCGAGTAGGTGCAGCTTAGAAATAAATGATGGGAAAGTAGTGAAACTGGAATTGCAGAAAAAAACAGTCTGTGCGAGCAGCAGCTACCAAGACTTCATAGATATAAGTGATCTGTCTTCCCTGCTTAAATTCTGGTGGGATCTTGTATAAAGAGTCTCCAGCTCAGAATTTGTGTGAAAATTGTATTTTAAAGGGCTGAAGTTTCTCTCTTTCTGCAGAACGTGCTGTTCTACAGCACATCTCTCTGTTATCAAGACAGCAAATTTTTATTAGACAGCAAGTGTTCACGTCAGCCAGTGTAGGTGCAGAAAACATACTTAAAAGCTTGGAAATATGGGAACAGTTGGCTCTTTAGAGCCTGGCAGTATGTAAATGCTTCTGATGTCAGTTGTGATTCTTTAGTTTTTAAATGTTTGACTAGGCTTTTTCCTTTTTAAATCTAGATGCGTCATTTTTCTTGCCTTGTGATTGGCTACACAGGGTGTATCACTTGCATCTTGTCATGACATTTGTCTAAAACAAGTTGGGGTCTTAAATTGTGTTGTCTGTTTTTGCTGTTTTTTGACAACCATTTCACCCTTATACTGATACAGGATGGACTTTCTGTTCAATGACAGGTCCTGCTTATGGGTCAATTTTGAGCACACAGGGAAAAATCTCATGCAGCTACACTGTCAGGAAGCAAAATGTATACCCTAATGCTAAGATCCCCAAGTAGTTTGTTACATCCTAACTCCAGGTCAGTGCTTCTCAGTGCCTGCTAGTTCCCAGGCATTTAGAGGATTCTATTTCTCTAAACTGTTCTAGGGTTACCTGATGTGAGACTCCATGCTTTTTGCCTTTTGCGCTGTTGGGAAGGGGCTGGGGAAAATTCTGCAAAAGCCTTCTAGAGCTCTCTGGGAGCTACAGTCTGGTTCACAATAAGGACCTGAAATCTAAGAGGTCTTCTGCTCTGGATCCTCCTTCCATTAACATTTCTGCCATGGAGCACCAACCTAGAGCCAAGGAGTGGAGCTGCCTGCCTGGCTGTGAAAAGCATGTGGAGGTATCTGGGGAGTCTGCTCTGCCTTTCCAAGGGGTAAGGAAAGTTTTGGCAAGAGCATTATCCCCACGGGGGCTCTTTTTCCAGTGTGGAACTGTAAGGATCCTACTAACGACTTCCTTCTTCCACATGGTGCCACACTAGGATTAATTTTATGCCTATGGGGAAATCCACCAGTGCTGTCTAATAACCAGCTCTTCTGCCTCTGATCAAGCATGGCAAGTTGACGGTGAAGCCAAGACGTGATCCGTGTAGGGACGAGTGAGGATACTTGCTGTCTTGCTGGCCTTATGTGCCATCACTGCTCTGTTGGAAGATTTGGATTTGGTCCCTAAGCGCTCCAGGACCTCACTTTGGGGATGCTGTTGCTACGGGGCATCCCCAAGAATCTCACAGGAAAGGCATCTCAGTGGGTGGCAGCGGTTGAACATAGGTCCTCTGTCCCCACCAGGGCAGGGAAGTCCCTGGGAACTGGGAATACTGAGGGGTTGCCCTGAGGGGCCTCAGATCCTTCCTCAGTGTGGGGTGCCGAGTTGTGGGGCTGCTGAGCTGCAGCGGAGAAGGCTTTCAGCACACTGAGTCATAGGAGTTGGCGCCTGGTGTTACCATAGAAATCGGATCAGCTGCTACGGGTGGGGAGTCCTCATCTGTCCCTTGGCTCTGCTGCTGCGTGGTTCCAGCATGAGCTCACGGTGCAAGGGAACCTGATTTCTTGCTCCTTGTCCCTTTGAGATCAGAGGAGCTCACACAGCTCTTGCAGCTCTCACCTAAGGGCAGGGAATAATTTTGCTTGGGTCTCTGCTTGGCTGCAGTGGTCAGACCCTGTGTGTTTGCCATGCTGTCTTGGTGATCCGCTGCCCTGATATGTCTTGCTCTTTTGTATTTTGGGAATCTAATTTCGTTTGCTTAGCAACAGCTCACAGCCCTTTGGGACCCCCCAGAGAGGTGAAAACTGGTAACAGATAAGGGAGGACAGGAAGGAGTAAGCATGGAGTGATCCAGAGGGAGAGGACAAACACTGAATATCCAAGTTCCTGTACTCTGAAAATGCATCCCCAAGCTTGGTCATGAGTATTGCCCTGAGCATGGACGTGATGCCTTCTGATGCTCAGTCTCTCACAGTTTTTGTTCTCTGTGCTCACATCCCAGTAACTGTTTCATCGTCTTCTCTGGATAAATATACACATGCAAGCTCTAGGGATGGAAGATGGAAAACATCATTGCCCCCCTCCGTTCTGCTAAAGGAGATAGCTTTACTGTGAATATAATCTTTCCACTCAAAGGCGTTGTGCCTCCTCAGATCATCTTTGAACCCTTTGCTCTCCTCATATTGCAAAACAAGCACAAGCCTGTCTGAGAAACAGCGTTACAGAGAGTCTTGCTGATGCCAGGTGTCATTTTGTTTTGCTACAGTTCCTCTTGGCTTGCTGCCTGTTGGCCGCTGAGTTACTGTCCGTGTGGTCTGTGTGAGCAATCCAGATCTATGTACTTGTCCTTTCTAGTGTTGCCTTGCTTATTTCCAGGATGTTCCCTTTAGAGGATAACAGCTGTTTCCTAGGATTTGTCCCTAAGAACTGGTACCCTTAGGAGGTGCTGTATGCTGTGCTAGCTCAGTCCTGGGTTTGACGTATCTTCTGCTCCAGGTGAGAGCAAGAAATACTCGCAAGCAACAGCAAAGGCACTGAGCTGTCTGTTGCTTGGACCCTCTTAATTCCTTGGTCTCCTTGGTATTATGGCATGCTTGGTGAAAAATACTCATCCTAGCAATATGGCTTAGATTAAGGATATGATGCCTTGCTGCTTGCTGTCGTGTAGAAGAAGGGATTTTCTGGGTGATGCTGAAAAGACATGAGTGTATTGTTCTCCCTGTCTTACTCGCTCAGCCTACGAAATCCTGTTTTAAGAATGTGTTTGTTCACTTCTGCGTTCAGATCCTAGCACACTGAAGCACCCACTTCAGTGTTGTTGAGAGCTCTGGCCCTCCCTTACTGGGAGAAGGGGGGGGGTGATTCCTGGGAAAGCTTCCAGCACTGGGCCGACTGTGGAAAGAGCTGGGCTTGGTGCCAGCCCTTGGGAGGGAGGGGGAGCTCAGAGCTGGTACAGTGAGTGTATCAGGCAAGGGCTGGTGTAGCCTGTCGCCTTCCTCAGCGCCTTGCTGCTGCTTCTGTTTCGGGAGAGAAACTACTCTGGACAGAGCTGTGGTCAAGCGGAGACTCGCTGAGAGAGTTGGTACAGGCTCCTGATGGCCTTTTGATAGCATTTGGCACGAAAGAATTTGACATATGTCGGTGCTCCGGGCTTGGAGGAGGAGGAGGAGGAGTTCCTGGCTGTATTAAGGGGGAGGGGAAGTGTGATCTTTGGATAAGTAAAGATCAGGGAGGATTTAGGGAAAATCAGTGAGAGGAGGAAGAGCCTTTTCGGGGTGGTAAACTTGTCATCTCTGTGTCTCACCTAGCAGTCTCCAGTCCTCGTTCTAGACGCGGCAAAATAAACTGCATTGTTTGGGGACCATGGCTACAGACCCACTCTCGGAGCTTCAGGATGACCTGAACTTGGATGATACCAACCAGTCCCTCAGCCAGCTCAAACTGGCCTCCATAGATGATAAGAGCTGGCCAGCAGATGAAGCCCCTGCTTTTCCCAAAACGGGTAAGTATCCTACTTGTTTGGGATCTGGGTTTTGGCCAAAAGCGAATTGCTTGTCCTGCAGCATTGTGGTTATATCTACATATACAGAGAGCCCCAGCTCCATTTGAAAGCTTTATAGGCACATTAAATCTTGTACCACACCCAAGTGAATTAGCCCTGCCATTGAACAGCACTAAAAAGCTCAGAGCCAGCTCATGTAAATACACTCTTCTCAGTCCTGTGACTGGCTGCACTCTGGTGCTGACAGTACAGACGTGCTGTAAGTCCTTGAGTGTCCTCTATTATGGTCTCTTGAAGGATAGTTTGACCTTCCTGTGTGGAAGGGTCTTGAACTTCCATGTGGGAGGTGGGGCTGGAGATCTGAGTTGTTGCTTTGAAATCCTGTACTATGGACTGCTGCCCAAAGAGGTCAGCGAAATTAACTCAAGTGCGTATAGGACAGCCATCCATCAAATGACAATATTAACATCCTACTGCTCCAAAAAGCGATGATGGTGCCCTTGGCACTTGGATTTTGGTCTTTGTGAATGTCTGTGACACATCTGACCGGTTGTTTTTGAGAGGGTGTACAGTCAAGGGACACATATGGACCTCATAGGATTGACAGGTCTCTTCTGATGTCATTGCTGCTCTTGCTTGCTCAGAATTTCAAAGGTGGGTTTCCGAGATGAACAGCTGCATACTTTAGTCCCTCCCATGTTGAAAAGCCATTTTTTCTCGTCCCTCTGTCTCTATTGTACCCCTCACCACGGTGCTTTAGATCCCGTCTACTAATTGCTTATTCCTTATGTTTTGTGCAGAGGACTCCAAAGGCTCCCCTGAGCCCATCACTCATCTGCAGTGGGATGATCCCTACTATGATATCGCCAGGCACCACATTGTGGAAGTAGCAGGTAGTGGTCTTTCTATTTTCTCTTCTGTCTTTGCAGCTGGTCCAAGGAAGGGTCTTTCCAACGAGGTTGTGGGGCGTCTGCTATATGCCAGGCCCAAGTGGCAGTGACAGCTGGCATTGTAAAGAGAAGGAGCACCATACTTCTTGAATGTTTGCAATATGTGTGATTTTCCACTGACCTCGGTTAAACTTGCATTCCTTCTTGGCTCTTACCATCTTGATTATATTATTAGCAAGACTTGGTTGCTTTTGCTGAATTGTTTTAGATGTGGCCCTTGACTATATCCTGCACACAAGATGCTGTTTTTGCACGATAATGCCACAGAAGTTACCTGGTTATGCACTACAGCTGCAAGGTCCTCAGCTGACTGAGTAATCCACAGTCCATCTGGTAGCTATGATATCTAAATGCCCAGAGCTCACCATCCTGTCCAGAAACAGCATTTACAGAAATCTGAAATAGGGGGAATAGGCGCGTGTCCCACTGCAAGGAAAGACCTGATCATTCAGGGTCACAAGCATTTGGATTTTCTCTGTACGGTTGTCTTATCCATATTATTTTAATTACACTAACCCACGGTAATGTACTGCTGGGACCTCCATAAGAAAAAGTTTTGGGGGTAGTTTTTAGGTTGCTGTCATAAGTCTGAGGGAAGGGTAATCCCAGTTCGTCTTGCATTCCTTGTTTAAAAAAAAAAAAAGCACCTCTTCAACCTTTTGTAACGTGATTCACACTTCCTCCTTGATTGTCTGTAGCCACCTCCTGCCCCTCCTATTGCCATTTCTCTGTACCCTGGTCCCTGCCCCACATGTGAATTTGCAGCGAAGCAGAGGCACAAGCTGGAGTCCTCCTGGTTCAGGGTTGTTCTGCAGCGGGGTTTGACCACAGAGGGAGGATTGTCAGGCGCTTACCTTGGTAAGAGTTGTCCTGACATCGTTCTTTTCAAGGCTCTCTTCTCCAATGAGCTTTCTTTCTCTTAACCTCTCATGTTGCATCTTTTGGGGAACAAAATGATAACGGCAAACTCAAACCAACGTTTTCCTTTGTCTCCTCTGTTCCTCTGGCTGCTCAGATTAGCAGGTCTGGTGTTTAGTATTTGGGCCATTATGTCTTGCAGATTTGCCACAAGTGCTTTCATTTGCAAATGCGTTACTAACCTTCTTTTTCTTGGGGCTGGATTTTCAGGAGTGGGTTTGATAGGGGTCTGCACCCTGGTCTCCCGATTGCTGAAACTGGGAAGGGACAGTTGTGTGGACTCCACCATTTCAGTGATAATACGTAGAATATTTGGAATGGGAATGACAGAGGTAACTGGTGTTTCTGGACTCTGGGAGCTGGTGAGTTAAATGATACTGTTGTTCGCTTCAGACACAGCTTCAGACAAAGTGCTCAGAAGAGAGTTTAGATCAGAGACATTGATAAGACTGGAATGTCAGCCCTAACCAAGGATATATTTTGTGTGCTGCCTCCTGACGTAAGCACCAGGCTTTCTGCGGGATTTCTGTTCCGAGGTAACATTTTTTTTCACAAGCTCTCTGAATATCACTCCAATGGAGGTGTGTCTCAGTGGCTGTTGGAAAGCAGCCGTTTGACACGTGTTCTAGGATATCAAATGAACAATTATCTAACTTCCTCAAAGGATTTTGGGGTGGTGTGATGGCTGACTGGGAGGTGTGCCTGCATTCTGAAAGAGATCTCTTCCCCGTCGTGGTTTAAATCTGTGCTTCTAGTGAGTCCTCTGTCCCTTTCGTGTCTCTGCGTGGTGCAGAAGCAGCTCAGAGAACCTTCTGTTATTGGCTGCTTCTGGCCACTCTTCAGCAGTAGCTGGTTTATCTGAAAGCTG